AGAAGAAAAAGTGGGCGAAGGATGAGACTGTAAAGAGAAAGAAAGAGCAAGAGGAAAAGAAGAAAAAACAAAGGGAGAAGAGAGAGAAGAGAGAGAGAGAGAGAGAGAGAGAGAGAGAGAGAGAGAGGAGAGAGATAGAGAGAGAGAGAGAGAGAGAGAGACAGAGAAATCAATGAAAAGATACACAAAGAAAAAATAGAGAAAGATAAACAAAGAGAAAGAGCGAAAGAGAAAAAAAAACGCAGAGACAAAAAAACAAGAAAAAAGAGAGGACGAAAAAAACGGACGCAAGAAGCACAAGGGAAAACGAAAAGGAGAGAAAAGGACAAAAGGCGAGAGACCGGGAGATATTAGGCTAACCTGCTGTGGGATTTGTCTCAATATTCCTTAATGAAGACTAATTCTGATGTTACTCTCACCCATATCGAGTTACCTGCGGCTTCCCCCCGGCACTAGCTTTAATGATCTCTCTCTCTCTCTCTTTCTCTCTCTCTGTGTCTCTGTCTCTGTTTCTGTCTCTCTCTCTCTCTCTCTCCCTTCTCTCTATTTCTCTATCTCTATCTGTCTACTTTCTCTCTCTCTCTCTCTCTCTCTCTCTCTCTCTCTCTCTCTCTCTCTCTCTCTCTCTCTCTCTCTCTCTCTCTCTCTCTCCCTTTCTCTCTATTCTCTATTTATCTATCTCTCTCTCTCTGTCTACTTTCTCTCTCTCTCTCTCTATCTTCTTTCTCTCTCTCTCTCACAATCTCTTTTTCATATACTCTCTCTGTCTATGTTGTTCTCTTTTTGTCTGTCTGTCTATCGGTCTCTTTCTCTGTATATCTCCTTTTTCTCTTTCTATCTCTTTATCTCCCGTATCCCTCCTCTTCCCTCGTCCTTCATTTGTTCCCCTTTCTAATTTTTGTTTTCGTCTTCTCCTTTGCTCCTTGTCCAGGGCACTAGCTTTAATGATCCCTTTCTCTCTCTCTCTCTCTCTTTATCCCTCCCCTCTCCCTTCGTCCCCTCCCCCCGCTCCCTCCACAATTCCCCTCACTGTTTTCTTCTTTCATTTTCTTGGTTTCCTTAGTTCACTTATCCTTTTTCTTCGTCTTCTTCTCTTCTTCTTCTTCGTCTTCTTGCCTTTTTATTCATTTCTTCGTCTTTTACTTCTACTTCTTCTTCTAATGATGACAATAATAATGAGGATGAAAAAAATATGAACAAGAGCATGAAGAAGTATAATAATAATCATCATAAGAACAACTATGATATAACCTTTATTATTTGTATTAGAATTACTATCATCATTCTTATTCTTATCATAATCATTATCATTATTACTATTTTCATTTTCACTATCATTATCGCTACTATCAGTCTCGGTACCATTACATTCTTTCGCCTTATACTTAACCCTACATCCTTATTATCAAAATTTCAACAAAATTATCTTCTGAAACTTCTCCTCCCTCCCCCCTCTCCCCCCTCCACTCCCCCTCTCCCTCCTTCTCCCTCCCCCCTCCTCCCTCTTCCCTCCCACTCCCTCCCTCTCTCCCCTTCCCACCCTCCTCCCCCTTCCCCCTCCCTCCCTCTCCCCTTCCCCCTCCCTTCTCCCCCCCTCCCACTTCTCCCCCTTCCTCCCCCTCCCTCCTTCTCCCTCCCACTCCTCCCTCTCCCCTTCCCACTCCCTCCCTCTCCCCCTCCCACCCCCTTCTCCCCCCTCCCACTCCTCCCTCCCCCTCCACTCCCTCCTCCCCCTCCCACTCCCTCCCTCTCCCCCTCTCCCACTCCTTCCCTCTCTCCACTCCCTCCCTCTCCCCCTCCCCTCCCCTCCCCATCCCCCTCCCCCTCCCACTCCCTCCCCTCCCCCTCCCTCCCTCTTCCTCTTCCCACTCCCTCCTCTCCCCCTCCCACTCCCCCTCTCCCCCTCCCCACTCCTCCTCTCCCCCTCCTCCTCCCACTCCCCCTCCCTCCTTCTCCCCCTCCTCCTCCCTCCTTCTCCCCCCCCCTCCTTCTCCCCTCCCCCTCCCCCCTCCTCCTTCTCCCCTCCCCTCCCCCTCCCCCCTCCCACTCCCTCCTCTCCCCCCCCCTCCCACTCCCTTCCTCTCCCCCTTCCCACTCCCTTCCTCTCCCCCTCCCCCCTCCTCCCTCTCCCCTCCCCCTCCCTTCCCTCTCCCGCTCCCCCTCCCTCCTTCTCCCCTCCCCCTCCCCTTCCCTTCTCCCCCTCCCACTCCTCCTTCTCCCGCTTGATTTACCGCCCGCCAAGGACACCAATTTCACTGTAATTGTCAGAAACAAACGACACCTACTTTCATTGCGGTGTATTTTTGTTTGATCATTCCGCTGCAGCTGCGGCAATGCAGGCGAGACTGCAATGTTGTTCTTGTCTTTTTTTTTTTTAATTCCAGTCGTGTCAATGAATCTACTAGAGATTTATTTTATCTTTGTTCTAGAGTGTATTTTGTCATGGCATGCCCATTAAAAAGACAGACAGCTGGGCCGCCATATTTAATTCCACTTCATACATACATGTATACATCCATTATATATATCTTTATCTATATGTATGCATGTATATTAAGTCACTGACCAAACGACTCGATTAACGGATTATATGATTTCCAATTAATTATTTTCCCATTTTATTCCCAAATTAACCCATAAAAAAATAACATCTACGGACGAGGGATATCCACATTTCACACGACGAAAATCTCGAAAATCAGAGGGGCATTGAACACACTAGACAAAGGTGCAGGAAATATGTGAAATGACATAAGGATAAATGTGTATCGTGCAAAAGAACGAGGCCATGATATAAGTTTGTGTGGATACCATCGCATGTTGAATCCCCAGGCATTGATCATGCTGACGCCTAGCAAAAATCAGCATGTGACAAGCAAAGTGTTGATATAAGATTCTTGAGTACCTCTTGCCTAGGGATTTCACACATAATTAAAAACTTCCTTCAAAGAGACGCTTGTACTGACTTGATTAATCTCAATCGGCCTGAAAGCTGTAGCATTAAAGCACTATGACAGGTTTATGCAAGATGTTTTTCATCTATGGTTATACAAAACAAGAACAAGACAGTGTGATATTGGTGACGCAAGAATCAGGCTGGGATATATAGAATGTACTGGCAGGTCAGTACAGCCTGTAAATATTTGAAGAAACGAAGTGTAAATTATGCAATGAAGAATATAAGCGAACACTTGTACGATTATATCTGCAGAGTGTCATGTTAATACAGCCTTTCAGACCACCTAGCATGAGGTATGGGAAACTATGTAACTACTTCATATCATCTGATGCTTGGAAGATTAATTATGTTATATCCTAAATTTGGAATGTAGTATCACATGACCACATATCAAATGTTACATTGGCCTTTCCACGCCCAAGCTGTTATGCCGGCTTGACAGATGAAGTAGATAAAATTACTGATCGTTTCTTTCCTTTAAATGATATATTTTAGACCGTAATAATTTATGATATTAGATTTATTCTGTAATACTATTATATTTTAATTTTTGCTTTGACCATGTATCAAATGTACTACAGCTTGCCCACGCCTGTGCAGTTAGCCAGGGTGGTAAAATAAAGGACTAAACTAAAGAAATCTCGAAATCAGAACCTACATATATTGTTATCACTTCCTAAATGTTTACTTTACTTTGCCTTCCTTTTTGCTTTTTTGGTTTAATAAGCTTATAGAAGAGACGCATACATGTGTAGGTTTATTCTCTAAATACATATATTCAGAAACATTGATTGAGAGATAGATAGGTACATAAATAGATATACATGCTCTCATACATGTACAAATAGACATAAATTGTAGGATAAATAGATTAATACGTCTTTCTTGTAATCTATCTTTTATTTATTTTGTGCTTTCACATCAAGAAATGTATCAAGTAAATTTGTCTATTAACCAATATATTTATGTTTCATTTAGGTTTTCATACTGAGAAACAACGCCCTTAAATAATCACTTAAAACATAAACAAGCATTTCTTTATAACCTTGATGTGAAATTATTTTACTGACCAAAAAACAGGTTCCCTTAGATAAAAGTGTGGAAGGAGAGACTTGATACCTCACTCTCATATTTTCCTTCGCAATGAATAAGTGTAAACCTTCTATAGGCAGTATTTGCATCGATGGTTTCGCTTACATGAGCTCATGTTTTGGGTTTGCACAACTTTTCATACGGTGGCTCTTTTGCGCGTGTGTGAATTTCATATACATATGTGTGTATACATATATATACTTGTGTGTGTATGTATATATTATATGAGATGGATGGATGGATGGATGATGGATGGAGAGAGAGAGAGAGAGAGAGAGAGAGAGAAGGAGAGAGGAGAGAGAGAGAGAGAGAGAGAGAGAGAGAGAGAGAGAGAGAGAGAGAGAGAGAGACAGAGACAGAGACATTTATGTAGACATAAAACAGACCTAGATATAGAAATACCACATCACACAGAGAAATCTTTACAACTGCTTAAAACAATAATAAAAACTAGAATAAATAAAACATAATAACCAGAGCAGCATAAATTAATGTTTTTTTCTTCTTTGTCCCAACAGCCAGCGAGAGTGTAGTCGGGAGGTAAATGATAACTGCTCGTCATCAGTCCATCGGCACAGACTCTTCTTTCTCTCTCTTTTGGTAACACACACCTGGTAAGTTCTCTGTTCTCTGTTCTACTCGAGTGAGTGTTTTAAACATTATCATATACATATAAATGTTTAAGTATACCCACACACACACAAGTGTTTATATATAGGTTTATGTATGTATGCAAGTACGTGTGTATATAAGTGTGTGTGTGTGTGTGTGTGTGTGTGTGTGTGTGTGTGTGTTGTGTGTGTGTGTGTGTGTGTGTGTGTGTGTGTGTGTGTGTGTGTGTGCGTGCGTGCGTGCGTGCGCGTGCGTGCGTGCGTGCGTGTGCGTGCGTGCGTGTGCGTGTGCGTGTGCGTGTGCGTGCGTGCGTGCGGTGCGTGCGTGCGTGCGTGTGTGCGTGTGCGCGTGCGTGTCTGTGTGTGTTCACAAAGATATCACAAAGCTTTTTATACTCAAACTCACTCTCTCGCTGTTCCTCCTCCCCTCCCTTCCTCCCTCCCTCCCTCCCTCTCTCCTCAAAACACCTAAGCTAAAGCCCGTAGCCGACGTCGACACCCACATCGACTCCTCCATCGCCAACCGGAAAACAGAAACCCTATAGAGCGAACACCGCGCGGAGTCTGGATGAGAAAGCGACAAAAAAAGCTAAAAACAAATCTCTGATCGTTGAGAGAGAGAGAGAGAGAGAGGAGAGAGAGAGAGAAGAGAGAAGAGAGAGAGAGAGAGAGAGAGAGAGAGAGAGAAGAGAGAGAGATCGCGATAGAGAGAGAGAGACCGAGAGAGAGAGAGAGAGAGAGAGAGAGAGAGAGAGAGAGAGAGAGAGAGAGAGAGAGAGAGAAGAGAGAGAGAGAGAGAGAGAGAGAGAGAGAGAGAGAGAGAGATCGCGATAGACCGAGACCGAGAGACCGCACGAGAGAGAGAGAGAGATCGCGATAGACCGAGACCGAGAGAGAGAGGAGATCGCGAGACCGAGACCGAGAGAGAGAGAGAGATCGCGATAGAGAGACCGAGAGACCGCAAGAGAGAGAGAGAGAGAGATCGCGATAGACCGAGACCGAGAGACCTCAAGAGAGAGAGAGAGAGAGCGAGAGAGAGAGAGACTTCTCGGAACGTCTTTATTCGCCTCCAGATGACCCTATACGTCTTGGCTCCTTTTGGGGTATTGACTTAAGGTTCGATGCCGTTGGTGAGGCGGGTTTGTACGGCGTTTTGGGGGCTGGTTCTGAGGCACTCGTGATGTGATGGATTCCTCGATTCTCTTTTTCTTTCTTTTTTTTTTTTCAATTTGTTTACTTTGGGTCTTCGTTTTATTTATTTCTTTTCCGTTTTCAGCTTCCTTTACTTTCTTAGACTATTTGCCTTTTCTTAATTCGTTTTGTTTCTGTGCTTTACTTCCTTCGTGTTTTATGTCTCTATCTTTTTCTTCCCTTTCTTTCCCTCTCCCTTCCTCCTTCTATCTCATCCCCCTTTCCCCTCCTCCCTCCCTTCCCGCCTCTTTCTCTTCTCCCTCTCCCTCACCCCTCACCCCTCTCTTCCTCCCTCCCTCTCCCTCCGCATCTCTCATCCTCCCTTCCACTCCCTCCTCCTCTCTCCCCATCTCTCATCCCTCCGTCCCTCCTTTCCCTCTCCCATCCTTCCTTCTTTCCCTCTCCATTCTATCTCTCTCCCTCCCTCCCTCCCTCTCTCCCATCCCTCCCTCCCCCCATCCCTCCTCCCTCTCTCTCCCATTCCTCCCTTCATCCCTCTCTCTCCCATCCCTCCCTCCTTCCCTCTCTCTCCATCCTCCCTCCCTCCCTCCCATCCCTCCCCACCCTCCCTCTCCCATCCCTCCCCATCCCCCTCTCTCCCATCCCTCTCCTTCCTCTCCATCCTCCCTCCCACTCCCATCCCTCCCTCCCTCTCTCCACCCATCCCTCTCCCCTCCCTCCCTCCCCCCATCCCTCTTCCTCTCACACGCACACCTTCGCAGCGGAAGCGCCAGCCCCGGAGATCGATGTTAACACGGCGAGAAAGAGACTGCGGTCATAGATCTGGCCAAAGGACCCCCATTCTTCTGCCTTTGACTCTCCTTTTTTTCCATCCTTTTTTGAGACTCCATGACGGCAGAGGCGGGGTTGCAACAAACCGCTTTGATCCGGGGCTGTGATTGATGGATGGCAAACACGGACGAGTGCGCCGGGAGGGCTGTGGAGGGGTTGGTGCTGAGGGGCGGGGTGGGGTCGTTTAGGGGGGTTGAGGTCGTCCAGGGGGGAGGGGTCCTCCAGGGGGTCGGGCGGGGTTGAGGTCGTTCAAGGGGGGGAGATCGTCCAGGGGGAAGGGCAGGGGTTTCGTTGGAAAGCATCCGTGTGTGCCGTCTGGTGTGTCGGTAGCGTATGGCGCACATACATACACACACGTGTGTCCACATACAGACACAAAGACACACACACACACACACACACACACACACACACACACACACACACACACACACACACACACACACACACACACACACACACACACACGTGCGCGCGAGCGAGCACATATGTATACGATTTTTCTTTTTATACTTTCTCTCTCCCTCGCTTACCCCTCCCCTCCGCTCTCTCTTTACTTCTCTTTCTCTCGTTTATGTTTATTTTTTCTCTCGCTTTCATGCTCTTTCTCTTTCTCTTTTCATTATCTTTCTATCGCTCTCTTTCTCTTTCTCCTTTTCTTGCTTTCATTGTCTTTCTCTTTCTCTAGCTTTCATTCTCTCTCTTTCTCTCGCTTTCATTCTCTCTCTTTCTCTCGCTTTCATTCTCTTTCTCTTTCTCTTGCTTTCCTTCCTCTTTCTCTAGCTTTCATTCTCTTTCGCTTTCTCTCGCTTTCATTCTCTTTCTATTTCTCTTGCTTCCATTCTCTTTCGCTTTCTCTCGCTTTTTTTCTCTTTCTCTCGCTCACTCTCTCATTCCCATTTTTCTCGCTCTTGCTCTCCCAACTCTCCCTCTCCCCCTACCTCTCTCCCTCTCTCTAGCAGGGAGGGAATGACGTGTGAGGTCGATCAGCGGAATTTGTCCCATTATGATGAAGGTTCGACGTAGTATTTTACACAAGGGAGAGAAGGAGAGAAAAAAATATATAAAAATTGCGCTTCTCTTGCGTCTCTCCCTTTTTTCTCTGTCTTTTCGGAGAAGGAAGAAAGAGACGGAAAATAGATTTGTTCTTTGTGCGACTTCATGGTAGATGTTAAAAGGGAGAGAGGTGAGTGTTGGAGGGAATGGGAGGGAAGGAAGGAGGGTGGTGGAGGGAATGAGAGGGAGGGAAGGAGGGTGTTGGAGGGAATGGGAGGGAGGGAAGGAGGGTGGTGGAGGGAATGGAAGGGAGGGTAGGAGGTGTTGGAGGGAATGAGAGGGAGGGAAGGAGGGAATGGGAGGGAGGGAAGGAGGGGTTTGGAGGGAATGGGAAGGAGGGTGTTGAGGGAATGGAGGAGGAAGGAGGGTGGTGGAGGAATGGGAGGGAGGGAAGGAGGAGGGAATGGGAGGGAGGGAAGGAGGTGGAAGAGGTGTTGGAGGGAATGGGAGGGAGGGAAGGAGAGTATTGGGGGAATGAGAGGAGGGAAGGAGGGGTAGGAGGGATGAGAGAGAGGGAAGGAGGGTGTTGGAGGGAATGAGAGAGAGGGAAGGAGGGTGTTGGAGGGAATGGGAGGGAAGGAAGGGTGTTGGAGGGAATGGAGGAAGGAAGGAGGGTGGTGGAGGGAATGAGAGGAGGGAAGGAGGGTGTTGGAGGGAATGAGAGGGAAGGAAGGAGGGGTGTGGGGGAAGGGAGAGGGAATGAGGGTGTAGGAGAGAATGGGAGGGAAGGAACGAGGGTGAGAGGGAATGAGTGTGAGTGAGGTGGCGTGAGGAGAAGGATTGCATATATGTAAGAAAAGAAAAAGAAATTGAGGAAGAAAGAAGAGAGAAAAGTAAAATCGATTAGAAAATGATGCTGCCATTACGCAAATGTATAATTACATATGATGCTTTCCAGGGAGAAAGGATCGATGGATAACACGCATATCTATTTATATCTCTCTTTATCTTATCTACTTTCCAATCCATCCATCCACCTATCTATCTGTTAATCCCTCCATCCCTCTACTCATTCATCTACCCATCTATCTATTCATCCAATCCATCCACCTATCTTTCTATCCGTACACCCATCCATCTATCTATCTACCCACTAAACATCTATCCAGCTATCTATCTAGCTAGCTAGTTATCAAGTTATCCAGCTATCTATCTATCTATCTATCTATCAAGCTATCTAGCTATCTAGCTATATATCTATCTATATATCTATCCATCTATCCATCCATCCATCCATCCATCTATCTATCTATTTATCTATCCATCCATCCATCCATCCATCTAGCTATCTATCTAGCTACCTATCTATCTATCTATCTATCTATCTATCTATCTATCTATCTATCTATCTATCTATCTATCTATCTATCTATCTATCTATTTATCTGTCTGTCTATCTGTCTATCTATCTATCTATCTATCTGTCTATCTATCTATCTATCCATCTATCTATTCATCTATCTATCCACATATACCGGTATATACAGCTGCACAAACGACCAGCTCCACAGATAGACGGAGAAGTGTCGTGGAAATGAACTTGAGACAAAGGCAGACGGAAGGGTACAAAGAGGACGAAGGACAGGGAGAAGAGGCAAGGGGTAGAGGGGGGGAGGGGGAGGGGAGGGGGTAGAGGGCGGGAGGGAGGGAGAGGGGAGAGGGGAGAGGAAAGGGAAAGGGGGGAGGGGAGGGGTGAAAGGCAAGAGGAAAGGGGGGGAGCGAAAGGCAAGGGGGGGGGGAGGGGGGCGAAAGGCAAGAGGAAAGGGAAGGGGGCGAGGGGAGGGAGGCGAGAGGCGAGGCAAAATGAAGAGAATTCCAGAGGACGACCGCGAGCACGAGAAACGCACGTAAATAATGATTCTTCGTGCTTCCCGTGCATCTTATTTCATATTCCTCCCCCCTCCCCCTCTCTGGACGAATGAGGCTCCTCTTTCTTCTTCTAGCCTTGCTCTTCTTTTTTCCTT